GGGTCATGGGGACCCGTCCTGGGGACAGGGACAGGGGGACAGGGGCTGGGGGTCCCACCGGGGATCATGGGGACCCGTCCTGGGGACAGGGATGGGGTGACAGGGGCCGGGGGTCCCCCCATGGGCCATGGGGACCCATCCTGGGGACAGGGATGGGGTGACAGGGGCCGGGGGTCCCCCCGTGGGCCATGGGGACCCGTCCTGGGGACAGGGACAGGGGGACAGGGGCCGGGGGTCCCACCAGGGGTCATGGGGATCCATCCTGGGGACAGGGACAGGGGGACAGGGGCCGGGGGTCCCCCCGGGGGTCATGGGGACCCATCCTGGGGACAGGGACAGGGGGACAGGGGCCGGGGGTCCCCCCGGGGGTCATGGGGACCGGTCCTGGGGACAGGGACAGGAGGACAGGGGCCGGGGGTCCCACCGGGGGTCATGGGGACCTGTCCTGGGGACAGGGATGGGGTGACAGGGGCTGGGGGTCCCACTGTGGGTCCCACCGTGGGTCATGGGGACCCATTGTGGGGACAGGGATGGGGTGGCAGGGGCCGGGGGTCCCGCCGGGGGTCCCGCCGGGGGTCACCGTGGGTCACCGTGGGCCGCGGGGTGTCCCCGTCCCCCCACCCAGGTGAACCTCGTGTTCCTGCTGGTGACGCTGCACAAGATGATCCGCAGCTCGGCCGCCCTCAAGCCCGACTCCAGCCGCCTCGACAGCATCAAGTGAGCCCCCCGAACCCCCCCAACACCCCAAAATCCCCCCGGGATGGGAGACCCCCCAAAACGGCACCCCCAAAATCCTCCCTGGAATGGGGACTGCCCCTCAAAACAGGGAATGCCTAAAGTGTCACCTGGGATGACCCCCCCAAATGAGCACCCCCAAATTCCTCCCTAAATAGGGACCCCAAGGCCCCCCGAATGGGCACCCTCAAAATCCCTCTCTGAAATGGGACCCCCCAAAACAGGCACCCCCTAAAGCGCTCCCTGGGATGAGACCCCCACTACGGGCACCCCCAAAGTCCCCCCCAAGGAGATGGGGACACCCAACCCCCCATATTCCCCCCTCTGGAATAAGCCCCCCCTCAAAAACAGGACCCCTTAAAAAACACCATGGGGACCCCCCCCAGGATAGTCATGCACCAAAAGGGGCGCCCTGAAACAGGAGACCCCCCCCCAAAACCCAATCCTGGGGATAAACACGGGTCATTCCCCCCAAATAAAAATGGGGACCCCCCCCCCGGCAGGTCGTGGGCGCTGGGCGCCATCGCGCTGCTGCTGCTGCTGGGCCTCACGTGGGCCTTCGGCCTCCTCTTCGTCACGCGCGAGTCGCTGCTCACCGCGTCGCTCTTCACCGCCTGCAACGCCCTGCAGGGCACCTTCATCTTCGTCTTCCACT